TCATGACTCAACTTTCAAGAATATATTGTGGTTTTTTTTTCTTTTTCTTTTCATTTTTGTGTGCTCTAATTCTAAGAAATTTCTTAAATTTAAGACTTAGGTTCTGAGACCTTAATACTCTTTAATTTACCTTTTTGAATATACAAATAAGCAATTCTTTGATGTTTAATAAAAAGAACAAAAAATTATTCAAGAGGGAAAAGTCAAACTTATATATCAAATGTGGAAAATTTAATGTTTAGGGTATTTGAAGCAATGTTTTTTTTCCCATTTTAAAGGTGGAAGTGAGGGAGACAATAATCTTCAAGTAGCTTAAAACTCACTAAGTAACTTTTAAAAAGAAATTTCGGGACCAGCAGTTAGCATAATGGCTATGTCACTGGACTCCCATGTAGTCGACTGTGGTTTGCATCCCGGGCCCGGTGGCTTAAAACTCACGCCGCACGTGTGTGTGTGCGTGCCCAAGATCCCGAGAGGAGAATGGAGGAAAAGGAATTGTGGCATGGCCATCACCCCTGGTGGGTGATTTCTGGCTTTCTGTCTCTCTGTCCTCTGTCTGGTGAGTACACACACCCTATAGCAAAAACCTCTTAAAAAAAAAAAAAAAAGACATTTCAACAATAAGTTAAAACTCTCTATAGTCTTTCTCTTTTTTTTTTTTTTTTTTATATATAGAGAGATTTTCTGCTAGGGTGTGTGTGCTTGCCAAAGAGACAGAAAGAGACAGAGAGCAAGAAATCATTCTCCAGGGGGGATGTCCATGCCACAATCCCTTCTCCTCCATTCTCCTCTGAGGATCTTGGGCCTGCATGCACATACAGCCGGTGTGAGTTTCAAGTCACCAGTTCCAGAATTCAAACCATGGTCAACTACATGGGAGTCCAGAGACATAGCCATTAGGCCATGTGCTGGTCCCTCTCTCTAGTCTTTCAACAGAGAGTACAAAAACAATTGGATATCATATGCAAATAAATAAATAAATAGATAGATAGATAGAACCTTGATTCCTTGATTATACCTCACAAAAATGAGCTTAAAATAGATCATATATCTAAATGTAAAAAAATAAAACTACAAAATTTCTAACAGAAAACACAGAATACAATCTTTGTGACCCTAATTAGGCAAAGATTACTGACACCAGAATCCTGACCTACAAAAAAAAAAAAAAAATGTGACAATATTTTTATCAGAATTAAGAGTTTCTGCTCTTCAAAAGATACTGTTAAGAGAATGAAAAGACAACTCATAGATTGGGAAAATGTACTTGCAAATTGCATGTCTGATAAAAGGCTTGAATATAGGTCATATAAAGAACTCTTCAAGACATAACAATGCACAACTAGGCATTAGAGAAGTGCAAATAGAAACCACCGTGAACAAGGGTGCATGTGCATGTGCAACATCCTGACAGGAAAAAAGAAATGGAGAAAAAAAGCATTGAGTCATGGCCACACTCCACTGGGAGAGTATGCGTTCTCTCCCATGTGCCCACTGATAATAAAACATATATATATAAAGACCAAACCAAGCACTGACAAGGATGTAGAAAAACTAGAAGTCTCATACTTTCCTGGCGGGAATGCAAAATGGTGGACTGCCACTTTGATAACTGATTTGAAAGACTCTTACGAAGTTAAAAATATACCTTTCATAAAGTCCTGCAATTCTGTTCTTAAGTATTTATCCAAGTGAAATGAAAATCTATGCAAATGTTCACAGAAAACCTGTATGGAAATGCTCACAAAGTTTTCTTCATCATTATCAAAAATTGTAAACAATTCTAGTGGCCCTCTAATGGAGAACAGATAAATCAATTGTCATTCATCCATATACAATAGAAGACTACTCAGGGACAGAAAGGAACAAACTAAGCCTAACTGTAGTAGTGCAGCAGTAGCATACCAACTGCACAATGCTAGAAGCCATACGGAGGATCAGATGAGTGCCAGGGTTGACCTACACACATAGGACACATATGAGTGTACCTGTCATCCTGGGTGGTTGGAAAGCTGCAGGGAGGATTGTACTGTAAGGTCATATTAAGAGTCCTTGTCTTTCCCTTTTTTCTTTCTCTATCAAGAAATAAAACTTCTTAAAAAAGAACAAAATTCTCAGTCATACAACATGGATGACTCTCAAATGCATTATGTTCAGTGGAAGAAACCAAATTCAAAAGATACATACTGAATTATTTTATTTATGTGACACTTCTTGCAATAGAAACAGAACATAAATCTGTGGCAGTCAGTGGCTAGGCATGAGAGCAGAGGCTGGTTACAAAAGGGCCTAGAAAGAGGCACTTCGCTCTGTCATGGAAGTGACAGAGCAGTTCTAGGTGTTGATTATAATAGACAATAAATGAATACATCTGTCAAAACCTAAAAATCTTTACACTAAAAAACATGAGTTTTAATATATATAAATTATACCTTCATTTTTATAACAGATAAAAAAATTAACACCAAATTAGAAAAATAACATAAAGTTTAAAAGAAAAATTTTTCCTAGCTCAAATCTGGCATGAACAACAATCCCCACTTTGGGTTACCCATATATAAAGAAATAATTTGGGGACCAGCAGATGGCATAATAGTTATGTTGTGGGACTATCACATAGTTGACCGCAGTTTAAGTCCCAGACCCAGCCACTTGAAATTCACTCCAGGCACCTGTGCATGCATGCCCAAAATTCCAAGAGGAGACTGCAGGAGAAGGGATTGCAGTGTGGGCATCTCCCCTGGGGAGTGATTTCTCACTTTCTGTTTGTCTCTCTGTGTCTCTTTGGTGAGCACACGTGCCCTAGAGCAAAAATCTCTCTAAAAAAAAAGAAAAGAAAAAAAGAAAAAATAGTAATTTCAAAAGAATAGAATGTAATTTTCCAGGGAAGAAAAAATGTCTAGATTTAAGGAGCAAGTATAAATCCATTGGCAAAACTAGTCCTTCAAATAAATCACAATCTGAGTGACAAATTTCCCTCTTTATGAAAACCTTGCCTTTAGACTAACAACCAGGGAGGCAGACTGGTGGAAATGAGCTGCATGGTTTAAATGGAAATGGGTAAGGACCCATGAAAAGAGGAGCACAGTAGACTAAGTGCTAAGGAAATGCTGAACAAGTGGTAGGTAACCAAATAACAACAACGAAACCAACAATGCTGCTTGGTTAGAATTTGAAAATAAGAGATCTATTCAGAGGGCTAGCTAGGTAGCACAGTGGTTATAGTGGCTGGATCTGATATGGCAGACTGCACAGTTTGAGTCCTAGACCTCGTTGCTTGAGAAACACACCCAACATGTGTGCCTGCATGCCCAAAATCCCAAGAGGAGAATGAAAGGAAAAGAATTTTCTCTGTCTTGCTCTTTCTCTCTCTCACTTTCTCTCTCTCTGGTGAGTGCACTCACCCTATAGCAAATTTAAAAAAAAAATTTTAGAGTAACTTCTACTGATACTTATTTCTCAAAAACAAAACAATTACATAAATGGGCACATGCATCTTTCTAACATGACATGTGATGACATTCAGCATAGTTTATGAAAAAAAGCACAAGTGACTACATAGCTAGAAAAATGTAAGTCATCAGCAGGTTGACACGTGACTTTTAAGCTCTAGTAACTGCTTTGCTACCCACTGTAATTATTCTGAGACTTTCTGTGATTTTTTATTATTGTTATTGATGTTTTGCGATAATAGTTGCTTAAAACATGTAATCATTTTTGTCAGCTTTAAAAATTAAATAAATAAATGGATTATTCTTCAGAAGAGTGTTTAAGCTCATTTTCTTACCCTAGAGTGCTGTATTTATTTTGAAAGAAAACATTCTGAAGATAAGCATAGATCAAAAAAGGAAACAACCAAATAAATTATATTTTATGAGATGGAATTTTATAGACAAAAAGTAAAGCCATGTGGATGAGGCCTGGATGAGGAGTTTATATTAACTAGGCCAGCATGCCAGCCCTGACAATAGGTAACCATGTAGGCTTTTTCCAGTCTGGTATCTTGGACGTCAGTTTCTTCAATTGTAAAATAAGGTGTTGACTTAGGACCTTTTATTTTTCTATAGACACGTGTGCTCACCAAAGGGAGACAGAGAGAGAGGGAATATGAGAAATCACCCCCATTTTTTGGGGGGGAGAAGGGATGGCCACACCATAATCCCCTCTCCTCCACTCTCCTACTAGGATGCACACCCAGGTGTCCCTGGTGTGTTTTTCAAGTCACCAGTTCCAAGGACTTGAACTGTGCAGTTGGCTATGTGGGATCTAGCACCTTAACCACCATACCACCTGCTGGCCCCTGTATTTTTAAAGAAACGTTTTTTTAAAAGAATCGTCCATAATAAACTACACAAGTATTAATCTGACACAGTACCTCAAAACCCCTTGTGAGGACTTATGATAGTTTCTTAGAAAGAATCATTGTTGCCTTTACACTCAGTTTTTTTAAGAAAGAAAACAAAAATAAAATAAGACCGCAGCTCCATGAATATTCTGGAACAAAACACAAACTTGCTTTTAGTAGTCTTGACACCAGTTCAAACGAACAAGCATCTCTAAAGGTAAAGTGACCAACCATTCTGGTTTGCCTGGGAAAGGAGGAGTCCCTAGAAACACAAAACTTTGCATTTCACTGGGACAGTCCCAGGCAAACCAGGGAGAGGATTGATGGTATTCCCAAGACTCTTTCTAAGATCATGCTGATTAAAAAGTTAAAGCCAAGCATGTCCAGAGTAAATGGCTTTGTCATCCAACTGGTTTAACTATCTCTGAAGTGTCTAGCATCTTCCTTACCGTCCTTATGAGATGCTAAATCTGACAGTAAGACCCAGAACTATGGAACAAAGAGATAAATTTCCTTTGTTTTTTCCTTTACCTCTTCTCCACCATTTTAGTGAATTTGGGAATCTTTCCACCAGTCATCAGTATTAAATGGACATCCTTTTGAACCTTGATGTATATGCTAGTGACTAATTGATTTTTCTATCATTACTTTTTAGCCCCTGAGTTTTGAAAGCAAGAAAAGCTATACCCTAAAGGTGGAGGGAGCAAATCCTCACCTAGAGATGCGCTTTCTGAACCTGGGCCCATTCCAGGACACGACAACTGTGCACATCAGTGTGGAGGATGTGGACGAACCCCCTGTATTTGAACCTGGCTTTTATTTTGTGGAGGTGCCCGAGGATGTGGCAATTGGAACGACCATACAAATCATTTCTGCCAAGGACCCAGATGTGACCAACAACTCAATCAGGTTTTTTTCACAGATTTCACCTTTTTCCTTATTTCCTTATATAAAATCTCACTTTCATTTGTATGTTATTTTTCCTTGCTGCTTCCTTCTCTTTCTAATTGCTGGAGACTCTCTTTGTTTTTCCATTTAAATAGCAGATCTTGTCACATTATTTAGAAGTAAAGCATCATCTACAACTCACTTTCAAATGATTCAGACACACACATTTCTTTAGTTCTCAATTGTGATTTGATTGATGTTTGGGGCTAGCTAATTCTGTGTTATTATGGGTTGTCCTGTGCACTGAAGGATATAGAGCAGCATCTCTGACCTTTATCCACTAAACACTGGTAGCACTCCTTGAGAGATAGCAACCTAAAATGTCCCCAGATACTGCCAAATGTGCTACCAAGGTGTCACAAAATCACTCCCCAGTTGAGAATCACCAAGTCAGATCTCTATCTGTATGGTCAGATACTCAGATGTCAAACACTAAATACTGTTGTTCTGGGACCAGCAGATGGTGTCATGGTTACCTTGCTGGACTCACACATGGCCAACTGTGGTTCAAGTCCCAGACTCGACAGCTTGAAACTCATACCAGGTGTGTGTATGCATGTATACCCAAAGTCCTGAGAGAAGAATGGAGGAGAAAGGATTGCCGTGTAACCATCCCCCCTGGGGGGTGGTTTCTCACTTTCTGTCTCTATCTGTGTCTTCAGCCAGCACATGTGCCCTATAGTAAAATTCTATTTAAAAAAAAAAAAAAAAAAAAAAAAAAAACCTATTTACTCTAACTAGCAAGTGGCAGGTGGCGGCGCAAAGGTTAAGACACTGCTGGACTCCCCCATGGTCAATCATGGTTCGATTCCCAGATCTGGTGGTTTGAAAATCATGCTGGGGACATATGCGTATATGCCCAAAATCTGAAGAAGAAAATGGAATAGAAGGAATTGTGGCATGGCGTGGTTCCAAAGGAGTGATTCCTCACTTTCTCTCTCCAGTATGGGTGTATGCCCTATGGCAAAAACCTAAAAAAAAAAAAACTGTTGATTTTAGTAGTGAATATAAAGGTGATCATTGCATGTTCTTTCAAATTCTATGAAACATTGACTGTTTTTATTTTTAAAACAAACGGAGAAATAACATACCCATACATGTTTCCATGTACTTTAGAAAGAAAAGACATGGAAACTTCTTATGCTGTTAATGGCTTCGATGCCATGTAGACTGGCCATATAGGACTTTGTACTGAAATCCCACATATCTATCTCTCCAAGGTATGTTTTAAAAACAAAAAATTCCAACCAAAATGCTTACCTCTCAAGAGAACTTCTCTTAAAACCATGGTCATTTCCCATTAGCTCTGAAAACAAAGTGCAAACAGCTGGTGGATAGGCTGGCCCTCAACCTTCTAGAGCAACTGCCAAGCTTCTGAAGCTTGACACAAAAGATCAAGATTCCAAGACTGTTTGAGACCATCTGTCACATTAATTGTTGAAAGTCACACAGTAAAATGAATCTGGGGCTTTAGCACAGATAATACATTTTAAACACACCCCAATTTATCAAATGCCTTTTCTGTCAGCTAGCTACTTCCCTCACCTGGTGCTATTTTGTATTTAATGAAAATGTGCTTCTACAGTTTACCAAGAATGGTTCTCTCTGGAGAATAAGTATACCGGGGGAAACCTGCTGCTTCTAACCAACTAGTAAACATTTTACATATCCAGACATTAAAATGGCTAAAATGTTTCTGTTTAAATTCTGATATTTTATTTCTTTGAAGGCAACTCATCTTTCTATTATGAGTTACAGCAACTTTGTAAAAATGATATTTCAACTTTAAGCTTTTTACAAAGTTTAAGTAAACTAAAAAGGGAAGAAGTTAGTAAAACCATATCATCTCCAAGATATCCACAACAAAAATCAAGCTGACTCTATTAAAAATTTATATTTTTAAAAAACAAGTATATCATCTGAATTATAACCTATTAATTACATATCTATTCTTCTATAATAGATTAGTTCATCTATATTATATAAGATATTTTGGTGAAAGCTTTAGAGGATAAAACTTCATTGGGTGTCCAGTCCCATCACCTAGTGGTTAGAGGAGCCAGATCCCACAAGGCCAACCATGCAGTTCAAATCACAGACCCAGTGGCTTAAGAAACATGCCAGGCTTGTGTGTATGTACACACAACAGGGGTCCTAAAGGGATATGGAAATGAGGGAAAGGGGATTGCCATATGACCACTCTCCATTAGGAGGTGCTTTCTCCTTCTCCTTCTCTCAGTCTTTCTCTAGCAAGCACACAAACCCTCAGGCAAATATAAATAAATAAATAAATAAATAAATAAATAAATAAATAAATAAATAAATAAATCATTATGGAGAAAATTGTTTGAAACAAATGCAAGCCTGAAAAAAAAAAGAATATACCTATAAAATAGAAAATTCGATGGACACCTTCACATCTTCTTTCCATATTCTGACTTTGGGCCCCTATGTGGGAAGCACTAGAAACAGTATTCTGTTAGTAGTTACACTACTGAGCAACAGAAAAAAGCAAGAGAGTGAACATAATCAGGACACACGCACACACACACACACACACACACACACACCTAGGTTGTATGAGCACTACTGAAAACTGAATTCATTATCTCAGGACATAACTAGGAATGAAAGAAAGTCACCAGCAGAGCTAGATTCACTGTAGGAATGGAGCAAAATAAGGTAGACAAAATGAAGAATCCTGTCTGCTCAACAGAAAATGGGCTACGCATGACAGGCCAGTTGAAAACCATGGTAGACCAGTAATGTCAGTTATCATCGGGGAGGCCCTCAGTGGAGCGCCTGGGTATTCCCAAAGAACCCAGCCAGGACGACTCCAGGAATGGACAGTTTAGAAGCATATTGGGCTATTCTGGGACAGAACTGTAGAACCTTGAGAAGAAAGTGGCAAGAACAAGGTCATAGGCCTGGAAGTAGCAAGACAAGGACTCAGGCACAGGGAGTAAAGTAGAATTCTAGTTATCAGAACTGGGCATAATTCTCCTTCTACATTTTGGTTCCAAAGAAAGAGCAGAAGTTACACCACTATACATAAGGTCCCTGACTTTTCATACCATCACTCTACAAAGAATGGACTTTGGATCAAGCAGAACATCAACAGTCCTAGTCTCCCAGAGAAAAGTATCTAAAAGTCAGATCTCTGGCTATCATTTAGTAAAACTGTTTGGAGACCTCCAGTGTGGAAGTTAAGGATCCCACATGGCTGCAAAGTTCAAGTACTGGACAAGAGACTTGAAAATCATGTCAGGCACATATGCATGCATGCCCAAAAATCCTGAGAGGAGACTAGAGGAGAAGGGGTTAGGAACTGTGGCATAGCTATCTCCCCTGAGGAGTGATTTATCTCTTTATCTCTCTCTCTCTCTCTCTCTCTCTCTCTCTCTCTCTCTTTCTCTCCTGGCCTATGGTAAAAATTAAATAAATAAATAAACTTATATGGAATCGCTTTCTTCTGTCATCTTTCCCCAAATTGCTCATTTTATCATTATTTTTCATATAAAGCTTGTGTTTCAATGATTTGTATATGCTATATGTTGCATGGCTATCCAATTCATCTACATTTTTGCTACAAAGATCAAATGAGATTTATATTCCCTGAAAGAAAATATAAATTAAATCCCCCCCCCAAAATCAACCTATCATCTGAAGTTAAAACGTTATGCGTAAAAGGTCATTTCACATTCTTTAAAGACTATTAGGACTTTTATATAAATCTCCTTTCTAAAGAGTCTGTGCTGTGGTCAGACATATAAGCCAGTTGTCATGTACTGGTAAGCTCCAAAACAAAATCTCCAGGTTTAGTTATGTGTACATGAAAAACACAGCACTTTGGTTACCTGGATTTTTAATAAATTCCTGAAGGATTTCTAGCAAGTAGGTTATTAAACCATTTAGCAACTGAAATAGGTTCTGCTGGTGTGGACACAACCTGCCCTCCTATGCCATCCAAGGAGCGGATGGATTTGGTCAGCCTGCTTAGAATAAGTGCTCCTCATCCAGCTTGCTCCCAAATTCAAAGAATGTCCTCAGCCAAGAGAACAAGCAGGGAACCCAATCAACACCAGCTACTATTTGCTGACGGCACTTTTGTATGTGTATATTACGCCTATTTTGCTCATAGTAGGTGAGAGTATTGTGGTTACAGAAAGGAAAACCACCTCCATAATTTACTAGTGTGTCCCAATTTCCTCATTTTCCATCTGTACCTACAACTTCAATTTGTAATCCTGCCTTCTGAAAATTGGCCCAATGTCCCATTCAGAGAAATGAAGGCCATTGGTCCCCTCAATTTAGGCTCATTGTGTAAATCAGAAAGAGACTCCACTTTTAGGAGGCTTTTTGGAGGCAGACTGTTGGTGCGTAGACCAGGTGGTGCTGTCCAGGGTCCTGGCCTGTAGTTACTTCTAGCGCTCTTTCTCCCATATGGCCTGCAACATTTGCTATGGTGCTGTGGATCTGTGCAGAAAGTTGGTTTTGGTTTATCATAGGTTTATCGTATCCCTTAGAAAGCTGCCATCAGGGTTATGACATAGTGGACCAAATATGGCCAGGCTTTTCTTGTGCGTGGAAAACAGAAAGATAAGGGTGTCATGAGCCTGTCCAGCAGGCGGCGAGGTGGCTACGGCACTGGACTTCCACACGGCTGAGTGCACTCCTAGTCCTGGACCTGATGGTTTGAAAATCTTTGTGTGTGTGTGTGTGTGTGTGTGTGTGTGTGTGTGTGTACGTGCTCACATGCGCTTGCCCAAAATCTCAGGAGGAGAATGGAGGAGGACTGTGGTGTGACCACCCCCTGGGTGGTGATTTCTCACTTTCCCTCTCAGAATCTCTCTCCAGCAAGCACACAATCCCTATGGCAAAAGCCTTTTTTTAAAAAAAGACTTTATTGAGCCAATTGGTATCTTTTCCCCCTAAGTAGAAACCCAACTCTTAACATAGTA